ACTCCGCCTAGAGACCGATGCATCTGCTTTGCATGGCCTTGGCTACGTTCTGTGGCAGTTGCAAGATGGCAAGTGGCGCACTCTCCAGTGTGGCAGTCGATTTCTGTCGGATCCAGAATCCAGGTATGCTGTCATCGAACTGGAGCTCCTAGCTGTCGTCTGGGCGGTGAAGAAATGTTCTCTCTACCTCGCCGGTACATTGTTTGAGCTTGTCACCGACCACCGGCCCCTCACACCAATCATCAACTCGTACTCGCTCGATCAGATTGAGAATCCCCGGCACCAACGCCTGGTCATGAAGCTTCGTCCATACCAGCTGCATGCCACTTGGCGTAAGGGTGCTGACAACGCTTTCGCCGACGCGCTGTCCCGCAATCCGGTGGATGATCCCACCCCTCACGATGAGCTCGGTGAACACCCAGCCCTTCGTACTCCTGCCATACACGCTTGCATTCGGAAAGACACCGAAGGCCAGATCGCCAATCTCCGGTTTGCCGAATTGCAAAAAGCCGCTCGAGCTGACTCGGATTATCACCACCGTCCGGAATGGATTTCCCGACGACAAACGCGACTTATGTCCTGCTGCCCAGCCGTATTGAACAGTCCGTCATCATCTTACAGTCGACCAGGACCTGGTACTGAAAGGTCCTCGCATTGTGGTCCCGCGTTCCCTCAGGCGTAGTGTGCTTGACGACTTGCATGCTGCTCATCAAGGTCTCAACCGTACCAAGGCTCATGCTCGCCAGGTGGTGTATTGGCCCCAGCTGTCCAACGACATTGACAATATCGTTCGCAGCTGCGCTGAATGCCGTCGCCACGCACCTTCTCAGGTGAAGGAACCTCTGTTGGCAACTGAGGATCGTTGTCCTGCCCTCCCGTTTGAGAGCACCAGCGCGGATCTCTTCGAATGCCAAGGCTACCAGTTCCTGGTATACGTGGACCGCAAGACCGGCTGGCCCTGTGTTGCCAAGATAGGACGCACCGCCACCTCCGCTGACGTAGTCCGTGCGCTCCGAGGCTGGTTCGCGGATCTCGGTGTCCCAGGTGTCCTGACAACTGATGGTGGTCCGCAGTTCACAGCGCAGCGTTTCTGCACCTTCTGTTAGCGTTGGCAAGTCCGCCACGTCAGATCCACTCCGCATTACCCACAATCGAATGGCCATGCGGAGGCGGCTGTCAAGGCCATCAAATCTCTCGTTTACAAGACCACTACCAACGGAGACATTAATGTCGACGCCTTCCGTCGTGGCTTATTGGAATGGCGTAACACTCTCCATAGCTCCGGTCAGAGCCCAGCGCAGGCCCTGTTTGGCCGCCCCCTGTCGTCATTCATGCTTGCCCACCGGAGCAGTTTTGCCCCAGCGTGGCAAGAAACCGCTGACGAAATCGACAGTCGTGCCTCTGCCCAGTCTGAAGCAGCCAGTCAGCACTACAACCAGTCTGCCCGTTCTCTGCCTGCCCTCCACCTTGGTTGCCCTGTGGATCTACAAGATCCCCGCAGCAAGTTGTGGAACGCCCGCGGTACCATTGTCGCAATTGGGAGCCACCGCGACTACATGGTCAAGCTTCCCAGTGGCCGAATATACTGGCGAAACCGTAGCTTTCTTCATCCTGTTGTCTTGCCCGTAGCACCTGCACAGCCGATGCCTGCTACCCCTATCACTCAGCCTGCCCCGCCAGTCCGGCGCAGTCCGTGAAGCCGCCAACCCCCGTCTAGGCTGAATATTTCGAACACTCGTGGCCAAACTTATGATAAGCTGCCTGTGCGTCTTTCTGTCTCTTGTTGAGCTCAGCTATGTTCGTATTCAGTTATCTCTATCTTCTTTGCCGTCCTTTCTGTTTGGTATTAGATGCCTTGTTGTCATCTCGGAAGGGGCGTGAGATACATGTATGTAAATGTAATTGGTTTATTTCTATCTCAGAAGGGACGTGATGTATCATGCTAGCTACTCATGTATTGCGCATGTACTTCAAGTTGTTATCACCCGTATAACGAGTATTGTTACGTTATACGCCTTGCTTCGCGTGATTACGTCATGTCTCTATTGGACGCATGCACGCATCCATATTCTGGATTCATGTGCTCCTTGCTCTTCTTCCTGACTTGAGAATGTAAATATTTAGTTTCTATTATCTTGTCACCAAACTAGTCCCTGTTGTCTAGTGGTAGTGGTGTGCATGAGAACATAACAGAATCACCTCGATCTTGAAATGAACTTTTTTTAGCCGTGGCATGCCCACAGCTCATGCAGGTAAGTGTACTATCACGTCCAGCGCGCCCTCTTTTTCAGCATCACTGGTATACCATGGTACGGCACCTGCGCGTGCATCACTAGCACTATGTGTGGAGTCTACACGTACACAGCTCTTGCACTGAGTTGCAGGTACAATCATGACTGTATTAGTACTCAGTGTCTCAGCCAGAGCCTCAAATTGTATCGCTGTTGCAGGCATTTAGTTTGCTGACCCCTCCATGTTTCTCCAAGCGCTGCCACTTGTTCCAAAAAGTCATTCTCACCCCAGCTAAGGTAAAACAGTGATGAGGCTTGAGTGAATGGCCATAAGCACGAGAAATGTGCAGGCTGCAACGCCTGACTGATCTCAGCGAGTTGAAATTACCATCGCAGCGACATCAGCGAAGAAAATGCGTCTAGTTCAAAAATTCCAGCTTCCAATAACAGAAAATAGAACTTTGCCGTCACCCTATACTGATGACTATTGCCTACGTCCGATTCCTTGCCTCTGGTACCAGTCATGGTGAGTAAATAGCCCGTTTTATATCAAAAGTCAAACTGCGACAATTTCGATGACGCGAAGGTAGTACTTCGGAATCCCGCTCGCGCCTGCGAAGGTGGAAGGCTCGTCTAGTACCCTGACATTCCCGGGCACTGTCCTGTATTGTGAGAAGATGGAAGCCCGGCTCCTTGACGACAAATTGGCTGACATGAAGCGCCTCTTGACTACAGCGAGCATCAACCCCACCATGTCCCAGCGCGAACTCGAATCTTTTCTGGGGAGACTCTCCTTCGCTGCAAGAGTCATCGTACCCGGCCGGACATTTATGCGGCATCTGTGGTCTATTTGCAGTCGCTACCAGCAGCCTAACTACCGCATCAGTCTGACTACCGAGTGCCAGGAAGATTTCCAATGGTGGCTACGGCTCCTGGAACTCCTGGAACAATGGAACGGAAAATCATTCTTCCTGTTCCCAGATTGGACACCATATCCAGACTTGGAGCTGTGAACTGATGCCAGTGGCACCCTGGGCTTGGGCGCATTCAACAGCAGCCCTTGGCTTCAAGGTACCTGGTCGCCTGAGCAACTCGCTCACAGCATTGACTGGAAGGAGCTCTACGCATTGGTCACAGCGTGCTGCACGTGGAGAAAGGAAAAGTGCCAGCTTCGTATCACAATACACTGTGACAACAATGCTGTGGTAGATTGCATCCGCTCCGGCACATCCTAGTCACTGCCAGTGATGACCCTGATCAGGGAGCTGTTCACTGAGTGCGCCCGCTTCAATTTCACTGTCACTGCTGCTCACATTACTGGCCAGTCTAACTGCATTGCCGATTCGCTGTCTC